TATCTTTTCATCATTAATTTTTTTTTACTTATTTTCGCAGACTAATGGAATTTCCTCGTAATGAAAAAGGACAAAAGCAGCTTGCTGATTAAAGAAATTACTGTATGTGTAAAAGTATCTGTGAAATGAAAACAATCAGCTGATGATATTGATAAAAGGATGTGTTTAGTTTTGAAATACAAATAAATTAAGTAAAAATAATTCGTATTTAATGTAAAGAAGTAAAACAAGAAACGAAAAATTTTCCATTGGATAATTTTATCGAATTTTGTCTTTTAATTTTTTTGTAAGTATTAAAAATAAAAAATAATAATTTTGAAATACTATTTACAAATAGATAAAGGAAAAAAAAAATAATTATGTTAAATTTGGTTTTAAAAAAAACCTAAAGCTAAAAACAATGAAAATTCTAGAAAATTTTTAAAGATTGTTATTGCATTACTTTAACAATTTGAATTTTTCCCTTTACAGTGAATTTAAATTTTTGAAAATTGATTGAAAAAAGAAACCTGTATGATTTATCAGTCTTACAAGACAGCATCATTGTGTTAACGTTATGATAAGTATATACTATGCTTTAGTATCAAAAAATATATTTTCCTTATTTTGCGAAAATAAACAGTTTTAGTGTTGTAGTTTTCATTCAAATTGCATTATTTTTATTCAAATCAGAACGTATAGGTATTATTTTTTGTATTCGAATCCTATATGATGAGTTTTTAAAAATTTTATAATTAAATAACAGCAAAACTAACTATTCTTTTTTCCTTTTTGAAATATTAAAGATAAACTATGCCTTGAATGATATTCAGGACATAGACTTGAATGACATCATGATTATATGACTCTATAGAGCAGATTGATTATAGGAGTTTGTCGAATCTCTCTTAACAAATATGATTAATAAAATGTTTGTAAGTTATATGCGTTAATAACACAAAAAAATTGTTTTTTCATGTGTTTGATTTCTTTATTAATCATTAAATAAAGAAATCGTTAAAAAATTTAATACATAAAATAAAATAAAAAATAAATTTAAAAAACTATTTTAAAATGGGGGAAATTAAGGATTAGACTATAGTTGCTGTCATGTTACTTTAATTTTCGGCGAATTTATTTTTAACGATTTTGCTTTCATCTACCATGATTGAAAAGTATTTAAATTTAATCAATACATTCAAGAAAAGTAAACATTATAGCAAAAAAACCAGAAAAACTTTTTAGGAAATTTAGCCATAAGATTTTCAGATTTTTTTTTTTTTTTTTTTTTTTTTTTTTTTTTTTTTTTTTTNTTTTTTTTTTTACTTATTTAGTCACCATCAACGGCAATACTTAAGGGTCCCCTCTGACGTCATCACAGCGCTATTCTTAAAGTTCTTCTCACCCAAAACGCAGCAGCGCTCTTTAACAGCACTTTCACGAAAAAGTCAGTCGAAACTGTAAATTTGAATAATTGACTCTCTGCAGTTTATAATATAGCGTCTCTTATAATTTTGATTACTTTTATATGATAATATTTGCTGTATAATATTAGTATAATGCATAATACTTCGCTACGATTTATAGTTCCAAAATTGAGGTTTCTGTATCATTTAAATCGAAATTATTGAAATAAGATAAGAATGCGTAAAGTTAGGTTAATGTTTAAATTTTTTTTTTCAATACTATGCATTTTTTGTCAGAACATAAGATTTTCTAATCAATTCCAAATCTTTTATCTTAGATTTTAATTCTATTTACTAATAAAAATTATTCCTGTGAAATTTTTGTTTACTCTTGTTTATTTTACTCTGTTATATGCAAAATTCTATTAAAAACCAAAATAGGAAAAAATCTACGTTAATTATGCTTTCTCGCATTTATTCTTTCATTAGTTTAAAAGGGTGCATGGTGCATGTAATTTATATAAATATAAATTTTATTCAGCAATGAAATTAATTTTTAGAGAATAAAAAAGGTATGGAATTGAAATATTTAAAATAAATCCTAATTTACTTAACATAATGTTTTTTAACTTTCATTAATCCATAACATCCTTCAAGAATTAAGATCTAATCTTTTTAAGAAACTAAAATGAAACAAATAACCAAATGACTATAGTAAACTTCATAGAACAAATTTAAAATAACAAGAGAAAAAAAATCAACTAATCAGTGAAATCAGTAGTTTAGCTTTTTACCACAGCGCGGCACTAAAACCGTTTGGGGATGAGTGTAGCTATTTCGCTGCTCTTTAAGAAGAAAAAAAACGCGTTCCTTTTTTAAATGACCTAGCATTAGAGCGGAAATTCTCTCTGTGGTTGGCACTTTCAAGTTCAAAAAAACGCTATCCTTCATTGTAAAAATTTTGAAAAATCGTTTGCTCAGCTTAGGCGTGCTTTTTCTTACAGAATCTCATAAGAGCTCCTAGTTTTCGTAAATCATATTTTTTACTTTATAAAGAACTTCGTACTATTTAGGATCAAGAATTCTAAATTTGTTTTTTGACACTATTAACTAATTTAATCTTCACAAATTATTGAGAAAATATAAACACAATTAAATTTATTATTTATAAACTTTTATCCTTAATTTAAAGGATTTTTTTTTAATTCTCTAGCCATAAAAATTGGAATGTCTGTTTGTTGAGTTGTTCTCTTTAGGGAATGCTATATTGCGGGAAAAACTTTTCATCGCAAATTCTATTTAACTTCCGTAACTAATTTGAAATTCAAAGTACGTACGTTTATTTTCAAGCAAAGGATTATTCTTAGTTTTTGAAGTTATCAAACACTTAATTTTCTATTCAAATACTTTCATTATTCAAAAAATATTGAAATGCTTTAAATTATTTTTAATTTTTAATGGGGAATACTTTGCAGTATGATTTTTTTTTTCGAAAAACAATATCGGAGTAATATCTATGGCAACGGCATACTGTGACACAACTTGAGCTTTATTTTTCTGGAGAAAATATTTTTTATTTAGAAAATCCTAATTAATGTATATTGTTTATTTGACATTAGTTTGCCTTTCTTTCTTTTTTTTGGACATTAAGTTGCGTGTAAAGAAACTAATAACTGAAACCTTTATTGTATAGTCGATATAAGTGGTTTGTCTTTTCTCAGACTAGCATTGCATTCGCTGAAACTAACTAGTGATACGTTTATTGTCTGTTCATCCTTAGAAGTTTGTCTTTCCTTTAATGGGCATAACATGCAGTGAAACTAACTAACGAGATCTTAATTGGCAGTTTCTCCTTAGAAGTTTGTTTTTCCTTTAACAGACATTGCATGCAGCGAAATTAACAAATAATACCGCAAATGCAATTTCGTTTTGCAAAGATTTTGGTTTATTTGTGTTAACCTTGACATATTTAATAAAAAAGTATCTTCCAGTTTTCACTGAAAAGTTACGTAATTTCAGAAAACTTTTGTTCAACAATATACACATTTCAGAACATATTTGTGAAAGTACAAGCTGAAATCCATAATCAGAAGAAAAAAAATTCAGTCCATCTTACACGAATGAAATAAATATTTAAAACGATTACAAAAATGCAATCCATCTTGCACGAATGAAATAAATATTTAAAAGGATTTTAAAAAATGCAGTCCATCTCGCACGACTGAAATAAATATTTAAAAAGATTTTTAAAAAATGCAATTCATCTTGCACGAATGAAATAAATAATTAAAAAGATTTTTTAAAAAAAATACAGTCCATCTTGCACGAATAAAATAAATACTTAAAAAGATTTTTTTTTTTAAAAAATGCAATCCATCTTGCACGAATGAAATAAATATTCAAAAAGATTAAATACGGTTTTCAGATTTTATGTATTTATTTTTTTATTTAGACCTTATTAATTGCAGGAACATAAGGAGGAACTGGCGATTAGACTTTAATTGCCAGTTCCTTCCTAGAAGTTTGTTTTTCCTTTGATTGACGCTACATGCAGTGAAACAATCTAGCAATACCGCTAATGCATTTTTTTAAATAAAGATTTTAGTTTATTTGCGTTAATCTTGACATATTTAATAAAAAAGTATCTTCCTGTTTTCAATAAAAAAGTTAAGTAATTTCAGAAAACTTTTATTCAACAGTGTACATATTTCAGACCATCTTTGTGAAAGTATAAGTTAAAATCCATAATCAGAAAAAAAATACTGTCCATCTTGCACGGATGAAATAAATATAAATAAATATTCGAAAACATTCAATATGGTTTTCAAAATTTATTTATTTATTCATTTTGAGGATTATTAACTTCTAAAACTTTCATCTGATTTTAGTAAAAAGTTCAATCGCATATAGCATTAATATAAATTCAATTGCGCATAAAATAATTTTCATTACCTTTATACCCTTTTTTAATTAACTAAATATATTTTGGTATTTTTTAATGATAAAAACAGACTAATAGTTACTAAAAATATCTGATATATATAGATTATCGGAATTACATTTTTATTAAGATATAAAATCCAAAAGTAGTTTAACCAAAAAGTTCATTCCTATTAAAAAAATTTATCAGCAATTGATTTCGAAAATTAAGGAAATATCAATGATAAATAAACTGTTTTTCTTAAATCTTAATGACTGCAAATAAGTGCAAATTTGAAAAATTATGGTTTGAAAGATTTTATGTTTAACGCAGAAAAAGACACCGGCGTATTATGCTGTAGCTCATAATTATAATTAATTTAAATGCTAAATGTAATATTTTTCAGATATTTTGATTTTATTTATACAAAATAAACTTCAAAGTTTTTAAATTTAATGTTTTTTTAAGTCTTTCACAAATGCAATACATTTTTTCCTTTATAAAATCCATCACATTTCTAAGAATAAACTATTGATAAATTTAAAAACGAAATTGCTAAAAATATATTTTTAAAGTGATATATTCGTAGTAATGTAATGAATTACCAATTAAAAATATTTTTTTAAGATAATTTAAAAAGGAAAAAAAAAATTATTCACAATCTACAATTAAAATTATTTTCAGTAAAAACTTACCTTAGCAACTTGCAGAATCCAAAAGAAAATCGTTACTGCAAGCCATTCCATCCTGCGAACTTTCCTAAATAAAAGCCATAACCGACAAGTTCCTGGCAGCTTCAAAGTTTATTTTCACCGCAAAGAGAAAAACGAAAACTATACATCAAAACAAATGCTTTAAAAAAGTTTTCTGTTCCCCCGCCCGATATCAACAACCTGTTGAAATGTTCTAAAATGCGGCACCTATGAGAAGAGCACCCACACCAAATGTCACGTTTCAAAGATTTCCCTGTAAGGCTGAAGGCAGGGAATTGTTTTTGAGTTTAGGGAAAATTTTCATGTTTACTCTTTCAACTATGGAAAATCAGTTTTTCCCTGTGATAAAGAATAAAATTAATAACTTCCAAAATTCTTATAACAACCAAATCTTCCTTCTAAATCTTATATAACAACCAAAAATTTTTATTGTAAGTTTCTTTACCGCATTTTTGAAAAAATTAAAGAAAAAGCGTATAATGTAGTAATTTTTTTGATTAGTGTAAATTTGAAGACATAATTAAACATAAAATTAAATAAATAAAAAAATATGTATAACAATCAGAACTTTCATTAGCTAGATTTCTACATTGAAATACAAAGAAAAAAGAAAACTTACATAAGGTATAATAATATATTTATTTGTTAGGAATTTTTAAAAAAATTAAATAATTTTAAAAAAATTAAAATTTTAATTAAACAATCGCTATTATGTGTAAAGACAAAAAATAAGTTTTTGGAAATTTTATTTACTAGGTTTTAAACACAGAGTGCAAAAAAGAAGAAAAAGAAGCTAAAGTGTAAGATGCGTATTTATAATTTTGTATTATGTATGATTATGTATAATGCATTTATGTAAAGTGTAAGATATGTATATGTAATGTATTTACTTAGTTCAAATTTTAAGACCTAATTTAAAAATAAAATGAAATAATCTAAATTATTATACTCGTATCTTATAACCAAAAATTTATTTTGGAATTTTCATTAACTACATTTTGTTAAAAAATAGTGCAAAAATAAAGGAAAAAATGCTGAAGTATAAGGTATAACAATGTATTTAATTCGAATTTTAAAAAACAAATAAAAAATAAAACTTGTTTGGGCAGTTCCATTTTCTTCATGTTTTCAAAAAAGGGCGAAGAAAAAGAAAACAAAAGCGAAGGCATGAGGTATAACAATATATTAAATTATTTTAAAATTACAAACCCAATTTAAAAAAATCAAATTTAATAATTAAATTAAATAACTTAAATAAATATCTTCATGAGTTAGATACAGCAGTAAAAAAGTTCTTTATTGTCTAAAACAAAGGTACTTTGCATGCAAAGATTAGGATACAGATAATTCTATTTTGTACGATCGATTAATTTCTGAACTAACTCCCGAATTTTGAGAGTCACAAATCGAAATGCTTCCACAAAACAAGGTAAGTTATTCAGAATATATGTGTTTTCGTGTCTGAAATTTTCACTTGAAATACTCTCTCCAGTAATAAAGTATGACATAAGATGATACGTCAAAACAAGGTAAGTTTTATCAGAGAAAGTGGTTTTTGTCTCGATTTTCGTAGCTTAAAATATCGTCTGCACTAATTAATTAGCATAAGATTAAACCTTCAAACGATTAAGATTGAATTTTAGTACTTTAGTTAATTTATTAAGGAATTTTTTTCATGCTGGATATACTTATATAGAGTATGAGTAATTTTTCATAGAAATTGTGTCTTCATTTCCTTAAATTAAGCATAACCTTCAGATGGTCCAATGCTATTCGTCTTTTTAGTATTTACAAAAAAATGTTTTTGCTGTTCTTATGCATTGTCATCTTATTCTTATGATTTCGATTTCAAAAGACTAAGGAGCCAATGAGTTAAATTTATCCCTTTGCGTTCTGAAATGTACTTTGTGTACTATGTTAAAAAAAAAATTAAAAAAATAAAATAAGAAACAGTAAAAGTAAAAAAAATTGGGTTAAAAAGAAAAACGTTGATTCAATCAAACATTTTTTTTTATTCTTATGGAAAAATGTCCTAAGTTATCAGTGTGATAATCTTAATAGTAACAACTGATCCACGAAGGCAGGTGAGGCGGGTTCGAATCCCAGTCAATACGAATTCCGCATCCGGCTTGCACCGACCACAGTGCTGACGTGAAATATCCTCAGTGGTAGACGTCTCTTTGTCGTCAGGCTAACAGTGGGAGGTTCTCGTGGTAACGCAAATGTGAGTTAGCTCCTTCAGAAAGTCCTCTACGAAAGCAAATTTCTTCCAATACTCGATCCAGGAGTTCCCTTGTCTTCTGGATTAAGTTCAAAATTACAAGTCTATACGGAGTTGAACATCAGTAGTCGTAAACCCATAAAATTGGGTAGGCTGTTCAACGACGGTTATAAAATAAAATAGTAACAGCTCAATAAAAGAGATAAAGATCCTTTCTAAATGTGCCATACGAAGTGATGTGGAAAACCATATAAAGATTGTGATGATTATTACACAACTTTCTCTAACTGTTATTGCTGGTAAATCATAACAAGATTAAAACTTTTAAGTACATTTTACGTAGTAAGTACATTAAAAATTTTAAGTACAAAAGAAATGTTTACAAATTTGAATATTATTCATTTAAATAGCGGTTCCCAAATGGTGTTCGGTGGAACTTTAGGGTTCCGTGGAAGGATCTCATGGGTTTCAAGAGTTGGGAACTTTTTTTTTAACCAGTTATGGTTTTTGAAACCTGTAATTAAATTTATAATTGATAATTCATTATTATTTAATCTATTTCTATGAAATTATTTAATTGTAATGCTTGAAAAGAAAGAAATTTCAAAACAATATTTTTTTCTAATAGAAATATAATGAATGAATTATAAGAAGGATATGCACTTATGAAAAATTTAATTAGTATTTCGTATCGAAGAAAAATAACCGAATTCAACAATAAAGAAGTATGTTTCTCTGATTACTATTCTCAAGGTTTAGTGACTTCCTTTTTCGTTTTTATTTTAATAAAAACAATATTTCTCCTCATTAATTTTAAATTTATGCATTCATTAAGATTAAATTAAGAATTAGACGAGATGCCAACCTAGACTTGTGAATTCTACTGTCCGACATTTTAAGACTAATATTGATAAAACGATATGATGAAATTTTTTCATTCTTTATTCATTCCTTAAATATTTTCAAAATAATTAATAAAATTCAGCTGATTACGTGTTTTTGAAATATTTAATAATCCTTCGTTAATTTTATGTTAATGAAATGTATTTATTATTAATTGTTCTGGAAAAAAAAGTCTGAAAAAATTCTGTGTTCTGAAAAAAAGGTCAATCACATAGGGTTCAGCAGCGAAAATTTTTTTTGGGGAATCTCTATATTAAAAAACACTAATTGTAATTCCATATGTGACGGAATGACATTTTGACTTGCATGATGACAATTAATTGAAGTTTCTATGCATCTAATTTCAAATAAACATGATTTTTTCTCATGCATATCATTATTATTGGTATAATGTGATTCATAAACTAAAAAAAAAGAATTTTGTATTTTTTTTATTTTTAATTTTATGAACTTTTTACTTGTGTGACGGAATGACATTTTGGCAACCAAGCTTTCGGCATGCCGCTTAGAACTGGTAGTTTCTGTGAATTTTGCAACTATTATTTTCCTGAACTATTTTTTACTTTTAGTATAATGTGTAAGCAATGTAAATTGTGAATTTGGAAAATTAACCTCAGGTTGGCTAGCAGTTATTAACATCTATTTGCTGTGACGGAATGACCGTGACGGAATGACAAAAAGTTTAGTGGAAGAAAGTCTTCATTTAAAAAATGTTTTATTAATATGTAAATGATAAACAGAATGTAACAGATAAACAGAATTAATATTTACGTAAGAATCAGTTAAAATTTCAACAATTTGAAAATTAGGTTGTCTCAGAAGAGGTTTTATATCTAACTTGCCAATGTCACATCTTATCTTCGTTCTCAGGAAATTTATGCATAAATCAATTTTTGTCCCATGTTCTTTAAATACTTTAACATCTAAATCGTCTTTGTTTATCAAAGTAATTTGCGCTGCATATAAATGTGCCTTCTTTTTTTTCGCAGTATGGGACAATGATTAAAGAGCCGACCGCATACTCCTCAATCATATTTTCCATTTCCTCTTCAAAACAGTGGCTTTTCAAATCATACACTTGGTTTTGGTTAAAATTAGAAAGCATTCCAATTTTGATGATTCGCTTCTCAACTACATGAGCATCTAGTGCAGGTCTCTTGTTCCTGGCAATGCTAATGTAGCAAGTGTCTAGCTGAAGTCATTCTCTTTTGCCCTCTCTTAAATAGAATAGCTGGACAAAAACAAAACTTCAACGATTTGTTGCTTCGACTTTATGAAATCATAAAATTCTTTTACATATTATGTGCCGTTTTACAGCAGCCAACATCTTGTTTGGCCTTTTAGAACAACATCACAATTACATGGTATTTATAGGTGCATGTGCTGTGAGGTATTAATGAAATACACTTAACAAAAATGAGAATAAGAACAAAAATGAGATAAGACACACTTTACATCAATATATGCTTCTTTATGAAAAGCCTCTTTTAAGGCCATAAGTATATATTGCATCTGCACTCTTCGTTACTCTGTCAGAGTTTGTATTATGACTGAATCCTTCATACTTGGGGGCTTGTAACTAACATCATCTTGACAGTAAAATTTTTTTAACCAAATTAAACAGCTCATCAACATTACTTTTCTCACTTAGTTTCTTTTGAGTTCGATGTTAAATACTTCTCACATAAAGACTGAATTAATTTTTTTACCTCTATTGGTGATTTTGGAAGTGAGTGTACAATTTTTTTTATGGTGAGTGTACAATTTTTTTTTTGGGTTTACCAAGACTCTGCAGGAATTTGTATAGGGAATTTAAATTATTTGTATGTGAAGAGATTGGTAGAATTTGATTTTTTCTTTGTTTACACAATCTCTGCACAACAGCGTTTGCACTTCTGAGTTTTTTAAGTCCAACTTTTGTCGCGGAAGCTTTCTTCTCTGCCTTTCTTTCTCTGTTTTTTTTCTTCATCATATCATGGGGATCTTGGTCTTTTTCAACATTTTATCTGTCTTTCAACAGCTGTTTTAGCCATTAGGTTAATTGAAAAAAAAATAATTCCCTAGTTTTTGACTAAGCTTCTCAAGGACTCGTTTTGTCATTCCATCGCCG